TGGGGTCTCTCAGAGCCCTGCTTGCATGAGGTCCTGGGCGTGGTGATGACACTCACCTATAACCCAGTATTCAGGTGGTAGATGCAGAAAGATTAGAGGTTCAAGGACGGCCTTGGCTGCTGGAGACCTGCCTCAGTCTGCAGTCCCCAGTAAATAAACAAATGTAAAACAAAAGGAAAAAAAAAAACAAAAACCAAAAACCAAAAGGCTTTTTGCGTAGCGTACTGGCATCCAAACAACGAAAGCCTTGGTACTGCTGGCCCCTTCCTGCATCAATATTCTGGAAACAGGGTCTGAGCTGGAGGCTTGCTCGGCATGTTCTTCTTACCGGGCTCTCTAGGTGTTGCACAGCTTTTCCAGCTCAGGTCCCTCTTTCTGGTGCCAAAGACGGTAGAACCCTGTCCAAGCAATACAAACCAGGGCATCGCTGCTCAAGCCTTGCACCCCCAGGCTCAGAGGCGAAGGCAGAGGGGCAGAAGCTCATCTTGGCCACGGGACTGCATGTTCAGGAGCCGGAGCAGGGCATCCATTAGAAGCTCTTGCTGCTCACAGACTAGTCTGGCTCTCCACACACACACCTGGTGGCCCTGGCACCTGTAACTCTAGCTCCAGGTGCCCCCGTCAGGCCGCTGTGGGTATTGCACACGTGTGCATATTGACACGTACACACACACACGTACACACAAAATAAGGAAGAATTTAAATCTTTTTATTTTTCTTTTTAATCTTCATTTCTATTTATTTAGTTAGCTTTGGCTTTTCAAAGACAGGGTTTCTCTGTGTAACCCTGCCCGTTCTGGAACTAGGTCTATAGATCAGAGGGGCCTCAAACTTAGACATTCGCCTCCCTCTGCCTCCTGAGTACTAGTGTTAAAGGCTTGGGCCACCCCCACTGCCAGGCTCAAAAAAAAAATAAAATATATATATATATATTTTTTTTTTAATTTCAAACTTAGTTCAATGCTAACGTGGATTACATAAAACCCTGTCTCAAAAGAAAAGGGGAGGGGCCCTGGGAGGATGGCCCAATGGCTCAGGGTGGTTACTGCCCTTCTGGGGACCCGAGTTCCTTCTCCAGCACCTCTGCTGTGTGGCTCTCACTGCCTGCATCTCCATCTCTAGGGGATCCAGCGTCCTCTTCTGCATCCGTGGGCATCTGCACGCATACACGACACACACACACGTGCATGTAATTTAAAATAATAAAGGAAATCTTAAAGAAAAAAAAAAGTAACAGCAGCCAGGCATTGCGGAGTAACCCATAATCCCAGGGCGTGGGAGGCTGAGGCAAAGGGGATGGAAATCCTAGTCCAGGTTGGGTTACATAGGAAATTCCAGGACAATTCGCATAGTGCGACCCTAATCCTCCGCAACTCTCCCCCCCCCCCCAAAAAAAAGCAAAAATAGAGTTGGGGAGATGGCCTAGTGCGTAAAGTAGCTGCAAACTTGGGGTCCTGAGTGTGATCCCCAACACCCACGGAAAAAGCCATGCCGTCAGAGTACCTCTGTCACCCACTGGAGGACAGAAGCAGGGAGAGCCCTGGGGGTCACTGGCCAGCCAGGCTAGTGGAGAGCAACAGAGGAAGACATTCAGCATGAACCTTTGGCCTCTGACTCCACGCACACATACCACGTGCACCGTTCCCCCTAAACACACACTCATATACACCAAAACAAACAAACAAAAATGATCCCAGCACTCAGGGAGGCAGAGGCAGGCGGATCTCTGTGAGTTCGGGGCCGGAGTAGTCTACAAAGCGGGTCCAGGACAGCCAGGGCTGCTACACAGAGAAACCCTTTTGTTGTTGTTTAAGGTATGCTGCGGGAATTAATTAATTATTAATTAGACTGGGAAAAGGGAGCTGTGTGGCAAGGAAGCCAGTCAGGAGCAGAGGAGGAGCAGTGTTAAGGAAGCGCGGGGAAATGTCGGGGCGGGGATGGGGTGGGGGGCTGGTCCAGCGTCCCCAGTCAGGAGCCGGTCCTGTCTAACTCCCAGGCGGCTGCACCTGCCTGGCGCTCCCACATTTACCTGCTCCCGCCTTCCGAGCGCCCTTGAGGAGGGGGCCCCTCTGGTTCCGCTCCCCTTGCTCACCCAGGTGGCGGTGTGGCCTTCTCTTCCCGCTTAGCTTGCTGGCCACCGCCCCCGCGCTCCGCCCTCCCGGCCACAAATCACCTGGCTGGTGGAGCCGCCCCAGCTCAGCCCCCTACGTCTCCTTGGTAACCGCTGTGGCTCCTCCCCTCTCATCCCCTACTGCTGGCTGGCACTGCCAAGCACATCACCAGGCCTTAGGGCATTGCAGCGGGGGGGGGGGGGGGGGGGAGGTCCAGTGGCCCAGGGAAGGAAGAGCCAGGGCCCAGAGCCTGGGACCAGCGCTTCCCAGGCTGCACGACCCCGGAAACTGGTGCCTACCTTATTTTTGACAACAGTTTTACTGAGATGCAATCCATGTGTTATGCGGTTCCCTTGATTGGGATCCGGGGTGGAGTTCCGTGGTAGAGAGCATGCCTAGCTGGCAACCATGCCCGGCATCAGGGGGGGCGGGGAATCAACCTGCATAAAATGAACAGCTCGCTGGATTGCAGTGAATTCTCACGGACTGTCCCCACAGTGCTTGCCGAATAACTGTTTTTGGCAGCCAGCTTGTGATGGCCCAGGCCTGGAGTCCCAGCACCCGCCCAGGAGGCTGAGGCAGGCGGATCTCTGTCAGTTCGAGGCCAGCCTAGTCTACAAAGCAAGTTCAGGACAGTCAAGGCTTGTGCTATTGTACCTCGGTCTTCAGCCCACAGCCGTGTTCCCAGGGTTCATTTGTGTTGTGTGACACGAATTGGTATTTCATCCCCATGTAGGGCCCATGGTCACTCCATGGCCAGACTGCAGGTTGTTAGATTACCCGTCTTTATCTGTCTGCACTCGGGGTGTCTGGTGGTAGAATTTTTTTGAAAAAAATATTTATTTCTTTATTTTATGCAGATAAATTCAATGTGTACACCTATACGCCAGAAGAGGGCATCAGACCCCTGTGTAAATAAATGGCTGTGAGCCATTGCTGGAATTGAACTCAGGACCTCTGGAAGAGCAGCCAGGGCTCTTGACCTCTGAGCCATCTCTCCAGCCCCTGGTGGTAGAATTTTAGGCAACTGTGAACAGCTGTCAATATTCTTGTGTGAGGTTTGCTTTTTGTTTTGAGTGTTTACCCGTTTGTGTGAGCGCACACACAGCCTATGTGAAGTACCTGTGAAGGCCAGAAGAGGGCAGCAAACCCCTGGAACTGGAGTTACAGGTAGTTTTGAGCCACCACGTGGGTGCTGGAAACACAACCCGCAATCCGGGATCCTCTGCAATACTAGTAATTGTTCTACGGCTGATTTTTAAACCAATCTTCCTTCCTTCTTTCTTTTTCCTCTTCCTTCCTTCTTTCCTCTTTTTTTTTTTTTTTTTTTTTTTGGACGTAGACTTTAGTTTGGGACAGGATTCTTACTCTGTAGCCCACACTGGCCTTGAACTTGCAGCCTCCTGGAACTTGTGTCTCAGTCTTGGGAGTGCTAGAGTTACGGGTGAGACACCACGCTCGCCTGAAGCGTCTGCTTTGGTTGTTTTCCTCTAAAGCGTGCATGCTGAGGGGCATGGAGTTTGCAGTGGGGAAGCGCTTATCAAGCAAATGTGAGGCCTCGGTTTGATGAGAGCTTCACAGAACGGGGATGGGACACTTGGGGATGGCTCAGTGGTAGAACCCTGGCCCTAGCATGTGTGAGGCCCTCGGTTCAACCTCAAGTACTGCGGACAGAGAGAGGGAAGGAGAACCAGCACGGGCAGTACAGAAAGAGCTTGTCTTAAAAACAAAACAAAACAAAAAAACCAAAAAAAACCATGGGCAGTGGTGACTTTAATCCCAGCTCAGGCAAACTACAAAAGAGCCTATGAGAGGGGGAGGCAGGTCCGATGAGGAGACCGAGGCCAGTGTAAGTGCTCCCTGAGGTCAGCAGGTAGTAGTAGCAGAGTCAGAGGTCTCCTGGTCCTGAGGTTTCTCCAAGCCCCCAGACCACCGTCTCCCCCAGTTTCTACAGTAGTATCTCTTAGACCCTGGGACTCCACAGCTCTTGAAGAAGAGGGTGTGGGGCATGAGAAGAGAGTTATGATCTTTTCCTCAGGAGAGGTACACTTTCCCAAGGTCTTCTAGGTGCCAGCCCCTAAAATATGACAACAAAAGACAGTGAAAAAAATTACCAATTTTTTTGTTTTGTTTTTTGTTTTTCGAGACAGGGTTTCTCTGTGTGTAGCCCTGGCTGTCTTGGAATCACTCTGTAGACCAGGCTGGTCTACGAACTCACAAAGATCCGCCTGCCTCTGCCTCCTGAGTACTGGGACTAAAGGTGTGCTTCACCACTGCCCGGCCAATTTTTCTTTATTTTTTTTCAAGACAGGGTCTCTCTGTGTAGCATTGGCTGTCCTGGACTCGCTCTGTAGACCAGACTGGCCTCGAACTCACAGAGCTCCTTCTGCTTCTGCCTCCCAAGTGCTGGGATTATAGGCGTGAGCCACCACTGCCCTGCTAAAAAAAGTTTTTAAAATAGCACTTGGCCATTAAGAAATAAAAATTAAAACAAGCATTGGCCAGAGCAGTGAGGGGGGTCTAGGTTCTTTATCTGTCCCCATCCCAGCTTGCTTGGTGAGGTTAGACCCTGGGCTATGCACATGGGAAGTATCTGTTCTCTCATGGAGCCCCAGCCCCAGCCCTTCAACCTCATTTTGTGAGGCAGAAACTGGGTTAACGAAAAATAGAACACGTTCCCAAGAGCTCACCCTGTGCTCGTGTTCCCGTTTTGGGGCCTACTCAATGGCATGTGGGCCTCGGGACAGCCTTCCTATCAAATAAGGCTCTACCCATAGTGCAGAGCAGAAGATGACATCAAAGGTCAAGAAGACTGACTGCGACCAGTCAGCCAGTAGAAAGGGCGCTTTTCGTCCTGTGGGGCACCTCCGGGAAGTCACCAAACCATCGACAGAAGATCTGAACCCGGGGCTGTAAGTTTGAAAGCGCTAACATTTATGCCCAGTCTTGGCGATCACGTGTCCCACCTCTAGACCCCCCAGTTACAGAATTAAACTGAAAACTGGAAGAACTTAGGGATCCTAAAGCAGGTTGTGTTTTATTTTGTGAGACAGGGTCTCATATGCTGCAGGCTGGCCTTAAACTTCCTATGGATTCCAGGACAACCTTGAACTTCTGGTCTTTCTGCCTCTCCCTCCTGAGTGCTGGATTATTACAGGCTTGCACTATTGTGCCTGCTGTGTGTTTGTGTGTGTGTGTATGTTATTTTTTTTGTTTCCTTTTTTTTTTTTTCTGAGACACTGTCACTCTTCATAGCCCTGGCTATTCTGGAACTAACCATGTAGACCAAGCTGGCCTTGAACTCCCAGAGCTCCACTTGTCTACCCCCTGAGTGCTGGAATTAAAGGTGTGCGCCCAGCCCACACACCTGGCCCATGCCTGTTTTTGTTCTGTTTTTTTAATGTGGCATTGGCTAGGCGAGCATTCTAAGAGCTGAGCTATGTTCCCTATCTCTTGTTTTGGTGCTAACCTACGTGATTATTTTGTCTTCCTGGCAGGGTGGGGCCGTGAGCACCTTCGGGAGTGGCTGGCTTCCACAGTCCTCTCAACCGGTGCCCAGGATCCAGAGCTGTTCCCGGGCTGCTCTCAACTGCTTGTCTCTCTTCTCTTCCAGACGGAGTCCACAGCTGGTGAGGCTGAGCAGGGCGAGGCCGGGCCCTGCCCGAAAGGACACCACAGTCCTTCACCGGCCCTTGCATCCCAGAGCCCACCAGGCTCTCCCGCTGGCCCCACCATGACGTCAGAGCCTACGTCACCTCCGGTGGTGCCCCCTCTCCACTCCCCCAAGTCCCCCGTCTGGCCCACTTTTCCCTTCCACAGGGAGGGCAGTAGGATCTGGGAACGTGGCGGTGGAATCGCCCCTCGGGACCTGCCCAGCCCTCTGCCCACTAAACGGACCAGGACGTACTCGGCGTGAGTGCCTTCCCCTCCCCTAGGTCCCTGAACTTTATGGAGGGCAGGGTCTAGCCTGTCCTTCCTCCCAGGAAGCTGTGTGACTGTCCAGTGACTTCAGGGTCTCTTCTTTGATGCCTTCATTCCAGGAAAACTTACTGTTAAGTAGGCACCTTAGGTACTCAGCACTCAGGGAGGCAGAGGCAGGCAGATCTCTGAGTTCGAGGCCAGCCAGGTCTACTGAGTGAGTTCCAGGACAGCCAAGGCCACACAGAGAAACCGTGTCTGGAAAAAAACCATAATAATAATAATGATAATAATAATAATTAGTAATAATAGGACTTAAGTGTTGCAGGTGGAACAACACTGAGTTAAACTTTTAAGGAAGGGTGGTGGACTGTCAGGGACCAGCCTTGGGCGTCTGGGGAGGTGATAGCTGAGGCCAGATAGGAAGGGTTTGTGGGAGCCAAAATGTTTTACATTTATTATTATTGTTCTTTCTTTCTTTATTATTATTGTTGGGGTGTGTGTGTGTATGTGTACCTGCCACAGCCTGTGTGTGCAGGTCAGAGAGCAATCCGTAAGGAGCGGGATCTCTTTTTCCACAGAGTGGCTTCTGGGGTTCAAACTCAGGTGTTCAGGCATGGCGACAAGTACATTTTTCACCCCCCAGGGCCACCTCATCACCTCAGTTATTTCTGGGGACAGGGCTTTGCTATGCAGCCAGGCTGACTTTGAACTGGTGGGCTCTGTTGGGTTTCGCCGGCATGCACCTCTGTGCCTGGCTGCAAGGTCTCCATTATTACCGCTAATCTGGATAGCAAAGAATGTGTTGTCCTGTGTAGAGCAGATGGATAGTAAACAGCAAAGGACAGTTAGTGCCATGGAAGTGAAGATGCCTCTTGGCATTGGTTTGGTTTTCTAGCTTGAGGATGGAGCCTGGGCCTTGCACTCGGCGGGCAAACAATCACCACTGAACTACAACCCCAGCTCTGCTCAGAAGCCTTCCATTAAAGCCTAAACAATTGGATGGAGGGTGCTATTTAGAGGGGCACTGACAAAGAACTGCCCTTGTGCCACACCAAGAAACACTGGTCAGGCCATTGTCCTGCTCCAGGACCCAGTCTTGTTATTTATCCAATGGCAGTATTTTTGTGTGTGTGTGTGTGTAGGGGGTGGTGGTGTCTAAGAACGGACTCTCCAGGCCACAGCTCCAACCCCCTTCCCCTATCCCCAGGACAGCTCGAGCCTCTGCTGGCCCCGTGTTCAAGGGCGTCTGTAAGCAGTTCTCACGCTCACAGGGCCATGGCTTCATCACGCCCGAGAATGGCTCCGAGGACATCTTTGTGCATGTTTCTGAGTGAGTGCCTGCTCCCTCCCTGTTTCAGGAGAGTCTCCCCTGACCCTCTCCTGCTCCCTGTCCCTGTTGAGGAAGGGAGGCTGGGGTGAAGCAGAGATCAGCCCCCCAAACCCCGATAAGGACTGTAAAGGCCCTTTGGCACTGTGCTAAGATCATGGGAGCCCTGAGGGCCAGATCTGCCTCTCTCCATCCCTTCAGAGAGGGGGAAACCAATCAGATACCCATTTCAGAGCTCCAGGTAGGGCTGGCTGAGGGTCCCTGGTTGTCTGCTCTGATGCTGAGCTGGTCTTTCCCCTCCTCTTCCCCAGCATCGAGGGGGAGTATGTGCCTGTGGAAGGCGACGAGGTGACCTATAAGATGTGTCCCATCCCACCCAAGAACCAGAAGTTCCAGGCCGTGGAGGTGGTGCTCACGCAGCTGGCTCCCCACACTCCCCACGAGACATGGTCTGGCCAGGTTGTGGGCTCCTAGGCAGGCGGGGGTCCCCCACGAGGAGGCAGGCAGCAGCCAGCTCCGTGCTCCCACCGCGCTGCCGACCAGCCCTTGGGTGTGCTCTTTTGTCTGTCTGTCCGTGCTTGTGGCTGTGAATGTGTGCTCTCACCCACTTGTGACCCCAAGAACCCGTGAGGTCCAGCCTGGGGTTGGAGTACAGCTAGCAGACCTGCCTTGGCCTGTCTCCTTCCCCCCAACCCCGCCACGTAAACACAGGGCCGCCTCACCCTCTTGTCCACTATCTATATACCGAGTCTCTGTGGGTCTGTGTCATGTTCTTGAGAACCTGGGGGACCCTCTCCCATGAGCCTGTTTCTCACTGCTGTCCTCGGATCTACTCAGTCCAGTACCCAACCCTGTCTGCTTGTGCTCCTGTCTCTTATGCTGGACCTGGGTGTCTGCCACGGCCTGGGACCCTTCCTCTCAGAAGCCAGGCCTCTAACTTTAGGAAGAGGACGAAACAGAGGTTCATGGCCAACCCCTGCCATAACCTAGCTCATCTTCCTGTCCCCACCCCTTTGGTGCCCTGGCTGAAAGCAGGAGGGAACTTAAGAACTCCTGCTGTGGAGGCCAATCCTTTCTCTTCAGCCGGCAGATGTTCTCTGAACCAGAGGCTCCTACCTGAGCCGGGAGAGCCAAGCTCATTCCCTCCCTGAGGTGAGGTGGGGACAGTCTCCTCCAGCTTGGACAGAATCTTCTCTTCCACCAAGATGCACAAACCCTGTGGACGCCCTGCCCAGTGTTGGCCATGACAACAGCTGAGGATGCAGCGATGGACTGACATGTCACCTTAGGCAAGGCCAGGTCCAGGCACCCAAAGGAATGGTCCTTATCCAGGGAGGCCACCGGCCTTTCCCCCACCCCTCTTCCCGGAGCTATACAATGGCTCTTATAGATCACTAATAGGGCAGCAGCTGAGATGGCTTTTCTCTCATTCATTCCTGAAATGACTATCCCTCTTATCTGAAGTCCCTTTGGGGCTAAGACATGTCCCTTCTAGAAAGCTCATTACCTATGAGAGAAGTGGGGTCCTGGGTTCAGGGAAGGCCTGTCACAACAGTGACCCATTCTGCAAGTAAAATGTGAGCACAGATAAGATGCTCAGGATGCAGGGGTCAGTGCTCATCTAGATGGCCTTGTAGGTGTTCCAGGACCACAGGGTAGTCTTTTGGGGTATTTGCACCCCACCTTGTCCTAGTACCCTTTGCACAGAGTCCAGCAGCCTAGAGCTGCTAAGGAGTGCCGACCAGCCTCCCATACTGGGAAGGACCTACCTATCTGACACCTCACTGTGAATTAGGCTTCTCTAGCAAGGCCTGTCCCTGCAAGCTTGAGGACCCAAGTTCAAATCCCCGGCCTGCCTGTAACTGAGCACTGGGAAATAAGACAGCCAGATCCTTGACAAGGAACTTGTTGGTACAGATGGACCCCAGGGGCACCCGGGTCTCGCTCCTGTGAGCAGGCACTTGGTGGTCATCATCTTGAGGCTTCCTGAGTGGTAGGGGTAATAAGCCTCCTCTCTACTCTTGGGGGCTGCAGTGCCCAAGTCAGAACTCCCCCCTACCCAGATCCTAGCCACGGACTCCCATCCCTCTTAACACTGGCAATAAACTCAACTGTGACCCACCCTGCCTTTGAGTTGCCTGTCTGTGAGGGCCCTTGGGTAAGGGTCTGAGGAAAGACACAGCGTATTGGCAATGTTTGGGGCTTCAAGGGATCACAGACCTCTGCACAGGCCCCTCTCTGCAAAGTGTGGTCAAGAGCCATCACAGCTTCAGACACATCTAACACACCTTGTTTTGGGAACTTTAATATCTGCGACAAAGTCCTTTGAGTAGTGCCCCTTCCCTGCCACTCTGTGGCCAGCAGGCTCCACAGCATAACTCACAACCACCCTCTGGGGTGAAACTTATTCTCTCCCAAAGATCAGCAGCAGCAGGCCACGGATGTCGGTGTAGACTGTCTCATCAGGCGCCACCTGGCTGGAGACTGCTGCCGCATAGGCCCTGGCCCTGTGTGAACGGGCCTGGTGGCTCCCCACATGATACAACCATCCTGGACCAGTGGGATGGGAACCTCGGCACCCCACAGTTCTCCCTTCAGGCCTGGCCGGAGCTCTTTGAAGGTCCCGATGCTCAGCTGCGGACACCGTCATGCCTCGTGGGCCGTCTCTGGGAAGAAGAGCTCCCGGCATCGTTGCACGGTGTCCTGAGGGGAGACCACGCTGTGGCCGACAGTCCGGGGGTCCGCGTAGATCTCAAAGTCATTCCCACCCTGTGCTCAGAGGAGAGAGGGAAGGCATGGTCTTAGGTGATGCCCACAGAGCAGAGGAAGCCGGGAATGGGCCCAAGAGCCACCCTTCCCATACTGGCTCCTACAGGCCTGCCCGACTGGCTGTATGGCATGGATCAATTGTGTCCAGCCCCCTGAAGACCCCAGTCCTCTGAACTGTAGGTTGGGAGCAGTGATTGTCTTCTGGTGGGGGGACCCCTAAAAGTCTGTTCTGTTGTCCCGTCCTAGCCTGGACCTCAGGCATTGGGTTGAGGGGAACTGGGCACTCACAGGGCTGGTCTCGTTCCCAAAGAAGTGGATGATGTCGAAGCTGTCCTCATCCAGGCTGTCCAGGCAGCAGCGCTTGTCCCAGCCCTCAGGGAAGACATCGAAGCTTATCATGCCTCCTGCAGAAGGTGAGGGCTATGACGAAGTCCTGGGACAGACAGACACTCACTCACAGAGCTAGGGGGCAAAGGGCTCTGCATCTGAGACAAGGTCTCCTGTACCCAGTTTGGCCTTGAACCTACAATGTAGCCAAGGATGGCCCTGAATTCCTGATCTTCCCCCTTCTACCTCTTAACTCTCAAGCGCTGGATAACCCGACACATGGCACTAGGCCCAGCTCTAAGGCACCCTGTCCATTCAACAACCCTGAGAGCCAAAAGAAGATGCTAGATGGCTTCTGCCTCATCTGGGCAGGGAACAGCCAAGAGCAAAGGTGGGCTCACTCAGCCAGCATGGCCCAGACCTAGGGTGATGACGGCATGCTGGAACCCGAGCCACAGTGGAACTTCCTGGGAGCTCTGAGCAGCAGTGTGACACAAAAATCGTCGGCTCTAAGTGACCTCAGCATGTGTTCTTCCCTCTGGCTACTGGGGAACAAGCTGAGATGGCAGCTGGGATATCAGATGTCCCAGGAGCCTCAGGGGAGCAGTTAGGGGCAGAGGTTGAGTTGAGTCAGTCCTGGAAAGAGCTTTAGAACGTTTGACTTGCTGGGCTCAGGAAGGGTTGGGGACGACTCAACATCAGGTCATTGAACAAAGTGGGCAAAACTGGCACAGTTAAACACTGTCCCCTGCTTGTGCCTGAGCCCCCCACAGGAAAGGCATACCTCGGGAGAACCTCAGCCCCTTGCCAGCAAACTCTGTCTTCAGGGCTTCCACAAACTTCTCCCGGATTTTCTCCTTCTGTGGAGGGAAAGGTGCATATTGGATCAGAGGGCCTTCTGCCTACCAGGCCCAGAAACCCCACTAGCTGCCTGGTCTTATGGGTGAACATGGCCTCCGCTTTACAGATGGGGAAACAGAAGGTCACCATGCCTTAGCATCAGTGCTAAGACCTAGATCCAGAAATCAGCAACCCCTGTCAATGGGGGTTGGAGACAAGAGGAGAAAGGTGGGAGGGCCTGGGAGCAGGGTTGAGTTAGGTCAGACAGGACCCACCCTGAGATCTACAAGCTAACTGGGTTCCAGGCTTGATGGCCATGCGGCTTAGCTGTGTGGTCTGGGCAAGTTACCTGACCTCTCTGAGCCAGTTTCCAGAACTAAATGAAAAATTAGCAGCTTCTCCCAAAATTAGCAGCAAAGCTCAGAGTGGCCAAGTGACAGGGCCTATAGCTGCCCAGCAAATGGCACCTTGTCCAGTTCTGAGAACTCGATCCTCTCTTCCAGGGTACAGCTGCGGCCAATGGGTGAGATGTTCAGCATGCCATTCCGGAACTCGATGAACGTTCCCCTGAGGGTGAGGAAGAGGAGGGTTGAGAGGGAGAGAAGCCACGGGGAGAAGAGACCAGCTGAGTTTTCAAATCCTGTCCTATACAGAACCATGGTCTCCCTGGATCTCACAGGGTATAAGAATGCACCCATCCGATAGGGCATGGTGGTGCAGGCCTGGAATCCCAGAGGCAGGTGGATCTCTGAGTTCGAGGCCAGTCTGGTCCACAGAGCTGAGTTCTAGGAAGCCAGGGCTCTGTTACACAGAGAAACCCTGTCCCCCTGTCTCCAAACAAACAAAAAGCCGTGGTTTCCATGTGAGGGACTCCGCCTCTCTTCCTTCATGCCTAGGTCAGTAGGGGCCTCTTACCGCTTCTTGGGCAGTCTGAGCAGGGCCATATAGCTCAGGCAGAAGTTGATCAAGTCCTGCAGCAGCTCCTCCCCCAGGTGGTTCTGGATGGTCTGTGTGAAGGACACAAGGCTCGCATCGCGGCACACGGAAGCGTGGGAAGCGCTGTGCGAGGGCCTGGGGACACTCACCTGCTTAGAGAGTAGCCGCCCATGCTTGTACTGCACCGTCCCGTTCTCAGCAAATACATAGTCGAACTTCTCGATGACTTGAGAAGTCGGGGGAGAGAGGAAGAGCATGAGGCCAGGACCCACGGTCACCCCAGAGCAACCACTGGGGATGAAGTCTGTGCTGTGTGGCCTGGCAGCCTGAGCCCATCTGTTCCACCCTGAGGTGGCTTTTCTGGCATCCTTTCCCCCTGAACCTTTGCTTCTCCCACATCAGCCAGTCATTCCATTCCATTAGGCCACTGCTTGGGTAGGGCCTCTGGCCTGGGGTCCTCATTCCTCCAAGAGCCAGCTCTTGGATGGCTCAGTCATCTTGGATGACTTCCTGGGGAATGCCCAGAAGAGGGCGCCAATCCACAGTACAGAGATTGCATAGCACCACCAAGCTCTGGCTGCTCCAAGCAGCAGCTGGGGGTCAGAGAGGCCCAGGGATCGAGGATGCCCTGCAGGATGTGTGGGTGGCGGATCATCACTGGGGCTGTGCTAAGTGGTAGAAAAGGAGGCATGGACAGATGGAATAGAGAGTGAGGACTTGTTAGCGAATAAACGAGGACATGAGAAAAGGGAAAACTCAAGGAAGCTTCTAGCTTGAGGGGGCGCTGAGAAGAAAGCAATGTTCAATTTTCACCATTAAAATAAGACAAGTGCTGGCTGTGGTGGTGTATAATTTCATGACTCAAGAGGCCGAAGCAGGAGGATCGATAGGAGCTCAAGGTCAGCCTGGGCGAAACTGTCTCAAAACAAAAAGCCGAGTGTGGTGGGTTATGCCTGTACTCCCAGCACTCAGAAGGCAGAGGCAGGAGGATTGCTGTATGTTCAGTCTACATACTGAGTTCCAGGCCCGTCAAACTTCCATAGTGGGACCCTGTCTCCAAAAACCAATAAACAGGGCTGCTGAAGGTAAAAGGAGCATGCCACCAAGACTGACAACATGAGTTCAGTCAATTCTTGGGACCCACATGGTGAAAGGGACTTGATTCTTGAAAAGCTTCCTCTGGCCTCCATTTGTAGGCACATACACACAAATAAGTTAATCATGTCTTTCTTAGAGTAAGATCATTGGATTGACACATGCTCATTCTCAACCAATCACAGCCATTGTTAGTTATGCTGTCAGTAAAGAGGAAGAAAACAAAGGAAAACCAGGGGCTGGAGAGATGGCGCAGCAGGCACTGCCTGCTCTTCCAGAGGTCCTCAGTTCAAGTACATGTTGGCTCCCAACCAACTACAGTGAGATCTGGTGCCCTCTTCTGCCGTGAAGGTGTGCATGCAGACAGAACACTGTATACACAAGAAATAAACCCAAACAAACATGTGGGAACCAGCTGTCGGCAGGGAGAAATTGCAATGAGCACTGTCTAAGGGAGGCTGCTCTGCTTTTAGCTGTTTCTCCAGAATCTAGCACCTGGCTATGAGCAGATACTCACTAACCATTTGTTCAGCACCGGGACCACCCCACCCAATCCCAGCTGGAAAAAATGCTGCCCTCACCTACCTTCATCCCCATCACCGAGCTGCTCAGCGATCTTGCAGTAGTCCGAGCCCCCTACCACGCCAATCTGCACCCTACTTCTCAGCTTCTGCAGGAAGGCTGACACCTCAGGATCAATTTTCTGTGGGGGTGGGACAGGAAGGACAAAAGGAATCTAGTTATCAAGAAGTCCAGGAGAGATGGCTCAGTGGTTAAGAGCACTGGCTGTTCTTCCAGAGAACCCAGTTTTAATTCCAAGCACCTACATGGCAGCTCATAACTGTCTGTAATTCCAGCTCCAAGGGATCTGATACCCTCACAGACATACATGCAGGCAGGACACCAATATACATATAATAAATAAATTATTAAAAAAAAAAAAAAAAAAACTCTGGGAACTCTACTTGGCTTAGTGCTCAGAGCCCTCCTTCTGTCAGAACCTGAGCACTCCCAATTAAAAAACCAGAAATGGAAAAGGCAAAAGTGTTTCAGCACTAACATAATCCCTAATTCCACAGGTGGCCTCAAATGATGTATTGCATAAAAACAAAAATACACTAAAAATATTGTATAGGTCTGGGTTACTTGTCTAAAATGCATGGGTCTTGGCTTTGAAAAGAAAGGCATGTTACAAAAAAGAAAAGAAAGATATGTAAACAAGCCGTACACAAGGTCTGTGGCTACAGTATGGGCTTGGTGAGTAAGCAACCTGTCTTGAGTCCTAACAAACTGAATTCAATCCCAGGGAGGCCCGTAAGAGAGAAGTCCTCTGACCTCCACTCTCAATAAGGCTCAAGCATGCCTACAAAATAGTGCAAAATAAAACACTACAATGAACTGCCTTCATCTCTGAGTTGGAGGCCAGCCTGGTCTACAGAGCAAGTATTTGTGTATTGGTGAGGAGGGACATACACCAAAACCTAAGGGAAAAAAAGCCAGGCATGGCGGCGCATACCTTTATTCCAGGAATTTAGGAGGCAGAGGCTGGAGAGATTCAAGGCCTCAGAGGTCTAGGCTAACCTTTGACTACAGGTGAGTGATCTTATCTAAAACAAAAGAATAGGGCTCGGTGGTACACACCTATAACCTGAGGCTTGGGAGAAAGAACACAGATTAACTCAATGTGCTACAGTCTAAAAGAAAAATTTCTTGAGAGCATCAAAAGTGTCTTAAGGCTGTGTATCACTTACATATGAAACACAAATGAATTATGTGGGTCCTATTGCCATTATAACACATTATGTCTTCCCTCAGTCCACTGAAGAATATCCAAAACCACAAACATTTCTGGTGGCCAGCATTTCAAACAGCAGGGTGTGGTGGTGCACGCCTTTAATCCCAGCACTCAGGAGGCAGGTGGATCTCTGAGTTCAAGGCCAGCCTGGTCTAGAGTGAGTTCCATTCCAGGGCAATCAAGGCTACACACAGAAACCCTGTCTCATAAACAAAAAAAGATTCTTCATGGGCTGGAGAGATGGCTCAGAGCACTGGTTGCCCTTCCAGAGGTCCTGAGTAACCCACAGTGGCTCACAACCATCTATAGTGAGATCTGGTACTCTCTTCTGGCACACAACCCTGTATACATAATAATTTCCTCACAACATGCCTGCCACAGTAGGAGCCACTTTCAGGAGATCACAGTTACCATTAAATGAGATAAGGTGTCCAAAGACTCTCCACCAGGGAAATTTGAACAGGTGAGTCAGAATTCAAGTTTCCATATATTCCGATACCAAAGACTATAGTATAGCTACAGACAATGGCAGAGGGGAAACAGGGATTCTCTCAAGTGCACAAAAGTGTAAGTTGGTGCGATTGTTTTGAAAAGCAATTTGGCAAGAAAGATCTACTGAAACTTAAAGCATTTCAACTTCTCTGTTCCTTGGGGTTTTGTTTATAATAGTGCAAAACTGACGGCAAGCAACTCCCATGCTTATCGGCCAGACAATGACACATACATATTGGAAATATCACCAGGCAAGGGCACAGATAAGGGCAGATGTTTGCTACCAACAAGGCAAGGTCCTAACACAAGCTGTTTACAGTCTGAAGCAAGTTGCAGGAAGCCACTAACAGGACAGGATAACGGCTCCAAGTCAGTAGCAAAGCCTCACAAATTAGCGCCTACTATTTCCTGTGGGCAACTCCATCCTGATAAAGGCAGCCAACTGAGCCATACTACTTAGACAATGATACTACTCTGCTGAGGTCAAAGTGGTCTTTAGCCTTTAATATTTTCATTCTTTACAAAAACAATGCACTTGTGAACACATATATAATTAAAAAAAAAAAAAAAAAAGCTTTGAAAAGCATCAAGCCCAAGGGTCTGGCAGAAACTGGACAGGCGGTTTTCCGTCCAGGCCTTACCAAGTCAGTGCAGCATTGGGCCAGTCCAAGGCATGCCTAGGACGAACCACCCCCTCTGCAATCCTGCACCTTCATTACTGGTCCCATCAAGGCTGCCAAGAAAGGCGGCAGGTTCCTTCTGGAGATGGGAAGGGGTGTCAGGAAGCTAAGATTTAAGGGTTACAGAGAGTGGGAAAATATGCTTCGGCTTACAGTGCCTCAGTGATCCTGTTATAACCAGACGAGCCCCGGGGCCTCTCACCTCCACATGGGTGGAGTCAAAACACCAACAGTAAAAAAATAAAACTCTCCAAAAAAAAATTAAAAAAAAAATGCAGTTCTCTCCCTCTCCGACCTGAGGTGGAAGGTAAAAACCCTTAAGAGGCTTAAGAAACTAAACCCAGGGTTAGGCCTGTGGACTCCAGGGTGGAATGGCTCAGAGACCTTTCTTGCCCTCAGCAGAGGGCGACTGTGGGCTTGGGACGCCGCGTTCTAGCGCTAGCTGGAGGACCGACTGGCTGTGCATCCTAGGGGGGAAACAAGGTGGGAGCATTCCAGAGCACAGCCTCGGCCCTGTGCAAGCCTGGGGCCGGAGACGCCCGGCCTCCCCCATAGACGCTGCTCCCAGGAGAGGACGCGGCCTCCGCGCTCGCGAAAAGGACGTGGGCGCCAACCCGCGCGCGCAGCGCCGGGGCCTGGAAGGCCAGGTCCCTCGGTGACAGGGACCGGTGCCACTGCGCTCCACATCCCACAGCGGGGCGCGAGAGCGTCGGCGATCACGCGGCGGTGCCGGCTCCACGCTGGGTCACGGATGCCGGCGTGACACGGGGCGCGGGCTTCTCGAAACCTCGGGGCCCCTTACCTGGCGTGCTGGCGTGAGGGTCCCGTCCACGTCGAACAGGCAGAGGATGCGCTCCTTCCTGCGGGAGCCCTCGACGGCCACAGCCATGGCTGTCGCTCCGCGCGCCGAGCGCCGTCGCCGCAGCGGCCGCCGGGGTCGCGCGCTATAGAGGCCGGGCGGGGCCGGGGCGGGGCGAGATGCGCGGCACGGGGAGGGGCGGTGGCCATCGGTCCTCCCCCGGGGGAGCGGGGCCTGCGCGGCCGGGGGAGAGCGCTGGCGCCTGGGGTGGAGGGGCGTGGCGGGGGCGGAGCCAGAGCGCCCGGTCCAGGACGGAGACAGGGACGGGCGGGAAAAGGGGCGGAGCCGGAAGACAGCGTGGGGCCGGCGGGTTGCTGGGGATTGCTGGGCGTGGCCTACGGGCTCGGGGGCGGGGCTTAGAGCACGCTTGCTGGTAGGGCAAAGGGGTCGCCCTGAACATCTTGGGCTTCAAGGAATCTTCCGGAAGGCAGGGCGCGGTGAGCAAAGACGGCAGGGTTGGTATCGCCCTGCTCTACGTAACGCGTTCCGGGCCAGCCAGGGCTACGGAGCAAGACCCTGTTTTGATTTTTGTTTATTTTGCTTTTTCAGGATCAGAGTTTCTTTTTGTAGCCCTGACTGCCCTGGATAAGACCCTGTTTGTAAAACGAAAAAGAAGAAAAGCAAAGACGAAAGAGAAGAAAGGAAAGAAAAGAGAAAAATCTCTCTTTTTTTTTTCTTCAGTCAAAGGTAGTCTGCCGTAAACCTCCGACTTGTAAACTTTTATTTAGATCTTTTTATTGTGTGTGCATGCGCAAGCAGGAGCCCTCCTAAGGCAGGTGAGCCTCCATGCGCTGGGTGCCAAATGCCTAGGCCTCTGCATAAGTGCTCCTAACTCTCTTATAGGAGTGCTCTATGTGCATGCATAAGAGGTCGGTGGTTGCCAGGAGCTGAACTCGGGACCTCTAGGAAGAGCAAGCAGGGCTCTTAATCAACTGAGCCATCTCTCCAGCCCACTTCTCCACCTCTTAGGTGAACCTTTTCATCTCCCCTGGTAAAGCTTGTGTTCTGCCTCCACACTTCCGGAACTCGATATACTGAGGCTGGAGACCCCTTTCCCTTTCCTTTCATTTTCTTTGAACAGGGTTTTGGGAGACCCCAGATTGGACCACAGCCAGTGGGGAAAAGATACAGTCAGCACCCTCTGTTAGAGTAAAAAGCAGGTGAACTTCCTGTTCCAGAGGACTTGCTAGCCAGGGTTTGGATTCTGGCACACCCTTTCTGCAAAAATAAATTTCTTGCTGAGCTCCTTTCCACTTGTATGCTCCTTTGTTCACTCTGTAACTCTGCAACCTTTGCAACTCTGAGGTTATTCTTTATTTCTTTTTTTATGTATAAGAGTGCTCTATCTGCATGTACATCTGAATGCCAGAAGAGGGTATTATATATCTCATTATAGATGGTTGTGAGCCACCATGTGGTTGCTGAGAATTGAACTCAGGACCTCTGGAAGAGCTGTCAGTGCTCTTAACCTCTGAGCCATCTCTCCAGCCCTATTCTTTCTTTCATGCACAGGTTTTGCTGATGGCTTTCCTTGCTACTAACCTTATACCATTCTGTCTCCTGGTAAAACCCATCTCACCATTCACCTCCCTTAAGAAACAGTCTCCAAACTGGGCTTGGTGGTGTACACCTATAATCCCAGCAGGCAATCTCTGAATTCGAGGCCAGCCCAGTCTACAGAGTGAGTTCGAGGACAGAGACAGGGTTTCCCTGTGTATCTCTGGCTGTCCTTGAATTCACTCCTGCCTCAGCCTCTCAAGTGCTGGGATTAGAGGGGTGCACCAGCACCGCCCGGGGAAAGTCATCTTTTTTGTATGATTCCTTTGCATCTGAGAATAGGGAATTAACACTGTATGTAAAAGAACACACATAATACCTAAAGTTTGGTTTCAGAAATCCCTCCGTCCCTACCTGCTGCAGGGCATGGCTGGCAGGCCCTGCCCTTACCCTACCCTGAACTCTCCAACCCAGGGGCAGGGGCGTCTCCTACCCCTTCACTATATAATGTAGACATTTTGGGTTCTTTTCCCTCTCTGCCCCTCCCCTGCTCCCAGTAAACCTGCATTTTTATACTATAACTTTGGTCTGGAGAGATGGCTCAGAGGTTAAGAGCACTGGATTTTTCTTTCTAGAGGTCCTGAGTTCAATTCCCAGCAACCAGATGGTGGCTCATAGCCATTTATAATGAAATCTGGTGCCCTCTTCTAGCCTGCAGACAGAATACTGTTTAAATAAATTACAAATAGATATACCATAACTTTGTCTTGCAAGCTCATTTCGCTGTTTCCAAACACACAGCAGACCATCAGTGGTGAGGGGACAGAGACAGGGGCTGTCTGCACACTCTGCTGCTGGCCTCACCACACTGAGGTATCCCTCTGATTTTAGGGAGCCCCTTCCCAGGCTCTCCTGGGAGTCAGGCTTCCACTGAGAAGCTCGGCACTAGCCAGCCAGTGGGGACTTATTTTATTTTTCACTGTATGTACGTGTGTTGGACTAATGTTTCTGTGCTATGACCTGTCTCATTGTTTTCTTTCCTCACCTTCTGACTGGTTTAATAAAGAGTTAACAGCCTATAGCTAGAAGGGAGAGGAAGGGCAGGATTTCCAGGCAGAGATAAGAATTGTGGGAAGAACTGAGAAGTTTGGGATTTGCCAGCAGACAACAGAGGAAGTTGAATGTACCCAGGGCTGAGGAGTAGTGGGCCAATGTGGCTAGAATAAACGGGTTAATTAAATTATACGAGCTAGGTGGGAAATAGCCTAAGTCATTATCATAAATGTATATATTATGGATATATATTTATCACATATAATATAAATTATTATTGTAAATATATAAATAGCCTCTCTGTCATTATTGGGAACTGGCAGTTGAGACATTCCAGTTCTATATGCATTTGCCTGTAGGAATGTAAACATGAGCACAGATACCCAGGAAGCCAGAAGAAGGTTTTAGATTCCCCAGTTCTGGAGATACAGGCTGTTGTATGTAAGCTGCCCAATACGAGTGTTGAGACTTGAACTCAGGTCTTCTGCAAGAGCAATACGGCTCTTGACCACAAAGCCATCTCTGTAGCACAATTGGAGATTGTATTAAAGACATTTGTTTTCGCTCCAGCTTTTCCTTATATTTGGTTACTTATTTATTTGTGTGTGTGTGTGTCTCTTGGGTGTGTTTGTGCTGGTGTGGGTGCTACAGCACAAGTGTGGAGATCACAGGACTTGGTTCTCTCCTTTTACCATGCACGTCCTGAGGACCAAACAGGTCATCAGGCACGTTTTGTTGTTGCTAGTCATATTTATTTACTTTATGGTTTTTGTGTGTGAGCACATACATGAAACAGCACATGTATGGAGGTTAGAGGGCAACTTACAAGAACCACTTGTCTCCTCCCACCGTGTAGATCCTAGGAATGAGCTCAGGTTGTGAGGCTTGGCACCGGGACCTTTACCCACTGGGCCACCTCAGTAGACAAGGCACAGTACATACACTTCGATGTAGGCTTGAGCATGAGGGTTCAGAAAAAGAGCGTAGGGGCCGGAGCGATGGCTCAGTGGTTAAGGGCACTGGCTGCTCTTCCAGAGGACCCAGGTTCAGTTCCCAGCACCCACATGACCACCCACAGCCCTCTGTAACCCCAGTGCCAGGGGACAGGATGCCCTTATCTGCTCCACAGCATCCTTCATGGAGGGGGGGGGGGCATAACCTCACCCAGCCAGACACACATACACACACAGAGTGGAAAAGAAAAGAAAAGAGGAAGCTGGCAGTGGTGGCACATACCCTCAGTCCTAGCACTTGGGCAGCAGAGGCAGATCTCTGAGTTCAAGGCCAGCTTGGTCTACAGACTGCCAGGGCTACACAGAGAAACCCTGCCTTGAAAAAAAAAAAAAACAACCAAAAGGATAAATAAATATAAGAGCGAGACACACACACACACAACAGAGAGAGAAGAGGGTTCTAGAGATGCCTTCGATGGACTTATAATCTGGCCCAATAAAATTTCCTGCCACAAATATTGCACAAGGAGTTTGGTATGTTTCCCTTCCTGGAAAATGGGGTTTCTGGTGACATTCCTAGAACACTGTGGTACAGCCAGGAAGGGAAAAGGGCCTCAGGAAGTTGTTAATTGTGTGAATTTATTTCCTTGCTACTGGCAAGAGACATCAACTGATGCCGAGTGAAGGGACCTTATTTCATCTCCCCTGAACTTCCCATAACTCTCTATTCCATGTATTTCCTTCCCTCTAGACTTTGTTCCCCTAATTTTAAGTGTTGCTCAAGACAGAATGTCCTACGTCCTTTTTTTTTTTTTTTTTTTTTTTTAAGACTGGGTCTTTCTATGTAGCCCTAGTTGCCCTAGAACTCACCAGACCAAGCTGGCCTTAAACTCATAGGGATCCACCTGCCTCAGCTTTCTAGTGCCTGGATTAAAGGTTTGCACCACCACTCCTGGCTTTCCTTTCTGTAAAGACTGACATACAAGTTCCCTGTGTTTATATCGTTTCCACACATCAAACTCTTCCCTTCCCCCACACTGCCTCTTGGAGTCATTGCTTCACTTATTCTATAATTATAAGATTTACTGAGACCGTTGACTGTTGCTCCTATTTGTGTTTCAGGCTGAGTACTTGTGACTAGATAACCTACCAGGGGCTCATCCCTGGAGAAAACGGAGACAGGGTCCCACTAAGTAGCCTTTGTTGGTGCAGAAATCACGGAGATTGCCTGTCTGTGCCTCTATGTGTGAGGATTACAGGTATAACATGACTGGCACCATTCTGGCCAGAGCCAAGAACTCTCACTTTGTTTCGCCTGTGATCTGCAGGGCATACCTGGGTGGGAATTTTTTTTCACTTCTGTCACCTTGTCTGAGCAGCTAGGATTCACCTTAGCAACATGAAGCTAAAGCTTTAAGAGGCCGTTGTTTGGGCCCAACAACAAAAATTGGAGTGGAGAACTGAAAATATATCTCTGGAGCAAAGTGATTGCCTAGTAATTCCAAAATGAGCTTTGGAAAGAAACAGAGAAAATGATAGAATCATCTACACTGCAGTTTCGTGTCAACAAGCTGAAATTAAGCCCTTTT